GTGGGGCAGCTCTGATGGAGATGCGAGGCCTGGGCCCTGCCTGGGAGCCTGAGTCTGCATGTGTACTGAGCACCCCGGGCATTCTGACCAAGCAGGGGACTCACAAGGGAATGAAATGAACAGGCAGTTACCCAGCACTCGCTGTTCCAAGCACCACATTTAGTGACTTCATTCATTGTTGGGGGCAACCCCATGAGGGAGGCACGTTTTCTCTCCCTGTTCACAGCTGGGGACCCAAGCAGCTTAGGAAGGGACGTGGTGGGGCCTGGCCTCTGCTCCCACCCTCTACTGGGCATCCTCTCGGCCCTGACAGCCTCTATCAGCCGTGATGTGAGGCCCCTTCTCCAAGCCCAGTTCCTCTGTAAACCAAGCACGGTCACCCCTGCCACAGAGGGCGCCTGATGACTAGGGAGACCGTCTGTGAGAGAGAGGAGCGTGGATGCTGTTCCCACCCGACCACCTGGCACCGAGCTACTCGGGCATCAAACACGCAGAGACGGGCCTCCCCAGGCCTCTCCCCGGACGTGTTTGAAGAAGGGCACCAGGCTCAGGCACCTCCTGATCCCCGGCCTAGCACCGCCCCCGCCCCCCATGACTCAGGAATTCTTGTGACACAAGGCTGGTGGAGATGGGAGCTTGAGCAGGGGCCCCAGCCTGGTGGTACCTTGAGGTCTTTGGCCCGCTGGGCGCTGTCCTGCACAGCCCGGCCTTGTTCCAGCGGTGGCCGAAGGATCCCTGTGATGGCCTTCTCCTGCCGGTCTAAGTCACTGGCCACCTTGTCCAAGCCTGCCAGCAGCTGCCGTCCCTGCAGGTCAGAGGCGTCTGCCGGACGGAAATCGGAGTTGGGTGTCAGTTGGGGGCATGAGTCGCAGGGAAGGGGCCGAGGAGGCCAGCTGGGACGTCCAGGGCTGGCTCAGCCTCCCCTACCCCTGCCAGGCCTGACCCATGCTGTCCCTTCAGCAGCACAGACCGTGGGTCCATTGCCTCCTCCCTGACCCACCACAGACGGGGCAGTGGCCCTGGCACCCACCTCCAGGGTTCTCTGCCTTGAGCACCTCATGCCGCTGCTGGAGTGCATTCCTGGTCCCGACTGCCTTCTGCCGCACACTCCGGTACTGGCTGCCCAGGCTGTGAGAGCAAAAATGGACTGGATCCAGGGCAGCCAACTGCCCCTCCACCCTCAGGAGCAAGACCCTGGACTTCGGCTGGGCCAACAGCCCAGAGGAGTCAGGCGGCCATCAAAATGCTTTGAAAAGTTAAATCACAACACATACAAAGGTTTGCTGAAACGCTGGCCTGAAGGGTTCAGACGGACCCCTTCCTTCCTTCGCCCCTTTCTTTCTCTCTTCTTCGTAGCAAGTCTTACTTCCTAAAATCATCTTGTTTGTTCCTTTGCCTTCCCTACTAAGATGTTACCCCTGAGGGAGCAGCACACAGGTGCTCAATAAATACTTGCTGAATGAGTAAATGAAGCATTCCCAGTCACTCACTCAACAAAGTTCTTGGGTTTTCACTTTGCCCCAGGTCCTGAACAAGGCCCTGGAGACAGTAAACCTCAAGGAGCCCCTGCCAGGAGACTGACACTTACACAAAGCACCCTGATCAAGAGCAGGGCGTGCGCGGGAGGGAGGAGGTGGAGCAAGGTGTTAGGCAAGGGGGCAGTCAGGGAAGGCTTCACAGAAGAGGTGACCCTGGAGCTGAGTCAAGCCAAAAGGCTTGAGCTGACCAGGCAATGAGTAGGTGTCCAGGGGAAGGGAACAGTATGTGCAAAGGCCCAGAAGCACTTCCAGAGAAAGTGCTCGCTGCACTGTGCCCACAGCTGGACATTCACACATAGCAAGTCAGTCGGGCCAACAGGATCCGCCCCTGTCCCACTGAGCCTCCAAGTGGGTACAGGTGTGGGGGTGTTACCAGGGCAATGAAGGGACCCAAGGGGTGGGGCCAGTCCATGCTGGCTACCTCCTTAGCCTGTACCTGTCGGCCAGAGCCAGGGCCTCGGGGTCGGTGGGGGGGATCATGAAGCAGACGGCTGGGGCGGTCAGCGTGTTTCCCGCGCTGTCAGTGAGGTCCCAGCTCTCTCCGTTGTTCCTCTGCAGGGTGTAGCTGTAGCCCCTTGAGATCAGGCCCTGGCATGGGCAGGCCACACAGTGAGAAGGCACAGAGAGACCCGCCTTGGCTGGTAGCCTGGGAGCCCAGAGGCCACCTTGGTCCTGCCCACCAACTCTGGCACCTGGGGAGTCAGCCCATCTCTCAGATCCTTCCCAAGACATCGTGCCCTAGTTGGGAAGGACTAGAACTGCCCCCATTCCCAGTCCATGTGGCCTCTCCTTCTCCATTCCCAGCCCTTTACTACTCAGGGTGGACATGTGACGGGCCCACCAATGAGAGAATGGCATTATCCCCTGACGCACACCACAGTGACTGGTTGAGGCTGACACGAGTCAAACTGGGCCAGTGAGAACCCTCCCTGGCACTCCTGCTGGAATGACTGGGGTTGCTAAGCTGATAGCACACAAGACCAAGGCAGCTAGCTATTGGCGGGAGGGGAGGGGACAGGCCTGGCAGAGAATGACCCCAATGACAGGGGTCCTGAAAACGTTTGAGGCCCTCATTTAGCGATGTCACCCTAAGACCTTCCAGTGACATGAAAAGAGGCATATTGGGGCCTGGCCTGCCTGGGGCACCTGGGCAACAGCTCACCTGGTCACCCTCAAAGTCACAGAGGGCCTCCACGGGGATGGGCTTGAGCGGCGTCTCCCGGCGGTACTTGAGGGGCACCACCTGCTGCCCTCGCTTCTGCAGGCCCTGCACCACGTGCTCATACTTGTCCAGAGCCTTCTCCTGGTCCTGAGCATGGGGAATGCCACAGTGAGATCATGCAGCCTCCCCCGGGGGGTGGGGGCCAGGCAGCAGAGGAGAGCTGTGGGGGGCCGGCTTGGGGCTGAGGGCAGGGAGGGGTCACCCGGAGTCACTCATGGGACCATCACTCACATCCAGCTCCCGCAGCAGCAACTCAATCTGGTATCGGTCCTTAAAGTCAGGGCTGTATTTTTGGTTCAGGTCTGAATCCACCTTGCGTAGCAGCTCCTGAGCGTCCTTCATGTCTTTGTGGAACTAGGAGACCAGGTGGCCCAATTACGAACATGAAGCAACTAGGACACCTGGCTAATCCTGGCTGTGGCTGCAAGTCCAATCCCAGTCGGGGCTGGGCCTCCCACTCACCCTGAGTCCACAGGCTCTGCTGCTCGTGGACACAGCCCGCCCAGGCCTGGCTCCCGAGAGGGCCTCATGGGAAGAAGCCAGGTCCCTTCCCGCCAGTCCACGTGACCAACTCTGCGACCCGTTAACTTTTAAGTGCACACCGATGACCTTTGGAGCTCTTAAATGTCATTCCTCTTTGTGCCAGGGACACCCTGATAATGCTATGCTTTCATTTTTGATACATGGAAGACAAGCTGCCCCACTTTGTTCTAGAAAATTCTCTTGCCCATTCTTTAGTTCATCAACTCTGGAATCACTCATTGTCAGCTGTGCCCTGGGCTGCAGCCACGAATGGCACTTTGGGATCCTGTGAATCTCACAGCCTAGCACGGCTCAGACACCGAACCAGGAGTTACAGAAGTGTCATCTGAGTTCAAGCGTCCCCAGACCACACAATCATTAGTCACCCGCCGCTCTTCCTAAAAAACACATTCCTATGAAACAACCGGTCTCCATCAACAGATGAATGGGTAAACACAATGTGGTCTGTCCACGCAAGGGAATATTACATGGCCGTAAAAAGGAATGGCATTCTGATTCATGCCACAACATGGATGACCCTTGAAAACATACTCAGTGAGAGAAGCCACAAAGGCCATGTAGCATGTGATTCCACTTATATGCAATATCTAGAATAGGCAGCCCGAAGAAAAATAGATCAGAGGTTACCCGCGGCTGGGGGAGGGAGGAATGGGGAGTGACTGTTAGCGGGCTCAGAGCTCCCATTTGGGGTGACGAAAAGTTTGGAAAGACAGTGGTGATGGTTGTATCACATTGGATTGTATGCTAAAATGGCTAAAATAGCAAATTTCATATTATATATATTTTACCAAAATGAAAACCCACACATTCATTCCTGGCCTCACACTGACCTGGTGAATTCACCCCCCAGCCTTGGCCCCCAGGGAAGACTGGCCAGGGCCGGGCAAGCTGGAGGCACACCCGTGTCCAGCGGGGGCAGCGGAGGCCCAGGAAGACAGCCCTGCAAGGCTCCCGAGGAAGTAGCATGGAGGCCAAAAGTGGGCCACGAAGGCCCTGAGTGTTCCCACCAGTGGGCCCAGGCCGGGGTACCTGGTGGTAGTCTTCCATGTACTTCAGGTGGCTCTCCTCACAGATGAGCAGGTTCAGATACTCCTTCCAATCTGCATGCACGGCCTCCATGTGAGCCTGCCAGAGAAGGGGGCGTGTCACTGCTGGGTGGGTGCCTGGGGCACTGGAAGAGGCCTGTGGGATTCCGGACCAGAGAGGGCGGGGGAGAGGGCATCCGGCATCTGCATGGGTGTGGCTCCCACAGGGGCAGCCAGCTGCTCCCCAGGGGTGGGAAGAGGAGAGAGAGGGGACATGTCATGGAGCCGAGCAGGGCTGCCCTGCACAGGTGCCTGGGCTGCACAGTGCATAAGGCACAGGAGGGGCTGTGTCTGCCCAAAGTGGTGCTTTTAAAAAATTGTCACGAAGGTGAATGGTATCTCCCCACCCCAAACTTAGAACGTGACTTCATTTGGGATCGGGGTCTTTGCAGATGTAATTGGTTAAAGAATCTCAGGATGAAATCACCTGGATTTAGGATGGGCCCGAAATTAATGACTGGTGTTGCTGTAAGAAGAGGAAATACAAGGGGGAGGCCCTGTGCACAGTAGTGTAGATAGAAGTGATGCAGGGCCAAGCCAGGGAAGGATTGCCGCAGCCGGAAGCAGGGAGCGGGGCAAGGAAGAACCCTCCCCCAGAGGGAACAAGCCCGCCAACACCTTGATGTTACCCTTCTGTCCCAGAATTACGAGAGAATACATCCTGTTGTTTAAAGCCACCCAGTTTGTGGTCATTGTTAGGACAGCCCCAGGACACTGACACAGGGGGGGGGGGGGGGGGGGGGGGGGGGGGGGGGGGGGCGAGAGCAGGACGTGACAAAGGGTCAAGATAATGAGAGGAGGCAGGGTCAGAGCAAGATGAGAGGACAGAATAATGAGACAGGCAGACAGACGGACACTTCCCCCCCCCCCATCTTGGGGGCTGCCCCAGTCCAGGAGGCCCACAGCAGAGGTTGCCCTGAGGCCACCCCGGAGGAGGCATCCCCTCCAGGTGCGCACACACCTCAATGGAGTTCCTCCCAGGGTGCTCAGCAGCTAGCAGTTGGTCTCCCTCACTGTGCAGCTTATTGATTCTCTCCTCTTTGGCCTCCAGGTTCCGGTTGATGAAATTCTGCATTGGGGGGGAGGGGCAGCAGGGGGCTCAGTGCGCAGCCTGGCAGCCTCATGGTCCCTTCTGGCCCCTGCCCCCCACCCCCAGGCCCCAGCACCCACCTCGTACTGACGCCTGCGGCTGGGGTAGTCGAGGTTGCGGTCACTCCAGTCGTACTGCATGCGGCCCTTGGCCTGCTGGTCCAGCCAGTACAGCTCGTTGGTGCAGCGCTGCATGTAGTCCTGCAGGGAGCTCAGGTGCTGCTGCCGCGCCTGCGACTCCGCCTGCAGGGTGGGGACAGGGCTGAGACTTCTCTCCACACCTGCAGCGGCCGGCTCTGGCCCTGCCGAACCCCTGTGGGTACGTTACTGACCCTCTGAAACGCATTCATTCTTTCGGCAAAGATTTACTGAGCACCTACTAAGTTCTGGGCATTGCTCCAGGCCCTGGGATACAGCAGTGAGCAAAGCAGACAGAACCCTCATGGCACTGACATTGTGTGGAGCCCCAGGGACTCATCTGCACAATGAGGATGACAGCACTGAGAGAGGGGAGCCAAGCAGGGCCCAAAGTCCGGCATAGAGTTGGTGCTCAGTAAAAAATTAGCAGCTACGGCTTCCGCTTTATCTCTGTCAGGTCATTGTTTAGATGGCTAGAACCGTAGAAACTGCTAGGGCTTAACATCTGAGAAAGGGCCGGGCAGGCGGGGAGGATGGACGGCTACATTTTGCTCTGCAAATAAGAACAGCAGCTGACACATACATGGGGCCACCAGGAGCCCAAACTGTGCAAAGATCTTCTCCAACATTAACTAACGCCATCTGAAAAGCAATCCAATGAGACAGGGACTCGCAGTAACTCCACTTTACAGATGAGGAAAATGAGGCCCCCAGGCTAAGGAGCGCGTTCAAGGTCTCCCCTCCCACCAGGGGTGGAGGCAGTCTGGCCCCAGAGCCTGCCCACGGCTGTGCTCTACCTCCACGCATTCCCACAGCTGGGGCGTTTGAAACGTCCGCAACAAGAAAGCATTCATGCACCACTTGTGCATTTCTAAAAGAATTCATTCCTTAAAGGTTTTGAAAATAGGAAACTTTTGCTTGTAAAGTATGTGGCATCCAACTTGGCACACAGAAGGTGCTTAATAAAGAAACAAGAAGCAAAACGGTAGGACAGGCTGTACCCCAATAAGTAAATGGGATCTACTGGGGTTTTCCATGAGCTCAGGGCAAGCTGGGGCACCTCTCAGGCAGGGGCCCTGGGTACCATCTCTTCCCGCTTCCCCTCCCTCCTTTCTGTTTGAACTGCACACGCCTCCTGCCCCAGCCCCTCCGCCCCTGTTCTCACCAGCAGTTTCTGGTACTTGGCCTGGAGTTCGCTGTTCTGCTCCTGAGGACAGAGCCGAGGACAGGGGTTAGGGCGGGGTGCAGGTGTGAGCCCTCCTTTCCCGGGTCCCGCCGACCACAGGCGCCCACCTTGCCCCCGTCCTTGGCCAGGTGGGGCCCGATGGCCTTGACCTCGTTGTGGAAGATGTTGTGCTGCTCCACCTGGTAGTCCACCAGCGGCAGGTCTGTTCCGAAGTTCTGGCTGCTCAGCTTGTCCTGGGAGGGGAGGATGGAGACAGTGCACGCAGGGGTGGGGCCGGGACTCCTCCTCACAGGACCAGCCAGGGAGAGAGCCAAGTGGCCCCGTGAGGGACACAGGGAGAGGCTGTCACCTTTATCTGTATGTCATCTCATTTAATCTCGCACGGTTACCCTGCCCGTTTTCACAGACGGCTGAGCCTAGCGTCACACCACTAAACGAGGGTTCTGGGCTCCCGTGGGCGCGCCCCTCCACCGTGGTGATGGGCCAGCCAGGGCATGGGAAGAGCAGTGCTGGCCAGACATCTGCCAGCCTGCCAGGACCCCACCGAGCCAGGACTGGAGGGTGATCCCAGGAGGATCTTAATCTTCATCACCTCTGCTGTGTGACTCTGGGTCAGGCACTGCACCTCTCTGAGCCTCGCTCTCCTCATTGACAAACATCAGAAAACATCAGCAACACGACTACCTCCGCGTGACTGTGGTGACATTAAATGGTGGGGTTCTCCCCCGACACACGGCCCCTCCCCAGCTGCAGCCAGGGCCGTACCAGCTTCTCTTCCACCAGCGCCGCCCAGTTGACCTGTGGGTCCACCTCCTTCACCACCAGGTTGTAGATCTGCTTGTGTTTCCCACGGAGGTTGGTCACACGCTCCTTCAGCTGACGGATGCTGAGTGGGAGAGCGGCCGCCCTGGTTAGCGGGCTAGCTGGGCAGGGCACTACCTTAACCCCCCGCCCCCCAACTTTCTGCCCAGGGTCCTGGGAGGGCAGGGTACCAGGGCCTTGGGCTCCAGATAAACACTCGCGCTCTCCTCCTATCTACTTTCCTACTTCCTTCCTTCTTCCATTAACACTTCCCCAGGGCCCACTGTGTGCCCCGGGCCATAGAAGGTTCTGGAAGAAACAGGCTGGAGCCCACCATCTAGCAAGGGCCACAGTGGGCGTGGGTCATGACAGGGACGAGCACAGGGGGTTGCGAGGCACTGGGAGACCCTGGCGCCTGCTGTCGTAGGTGCCGATTTAGCCACATGGAGCTAAGGCAAGAGCCATGAGCATGGGGCCGGGTGGGCGTCCGGGTGGGACAGCGTGCTCAAAAGCCAGGAGGTCGGACAGCATGGTCAGGAAGTTGGGGTCACACTATGAGCAGAGCAGGGAACACCAGTGCTCCGAGCCGTCTCCCCGACAGCAAGTGGGTTGTCATGAGAATAACAGAGTGTGTGGCATGTGCCTGGCATCTAGCTAGCCCTCGAGAGGCCCTGACGCGGCTCCTGAGTGCGGGTGGGCTGCGGCCCTCCTGCCCGGCCAGGCGGCCCCCTCAGAGCTGAAGCAGAGGGACCTACTCCTCGGCGATCATGTCCCCCTGGGGGTGTTTCATGTGCTTGGCGATGGCCGCGTCCGCCTCCAGCATGTACAGCAGCTTCTCCGAGTCCGACACCTTCTGCAGGGCCACGTCCCGGTGCTCGGGCTGCCGGCCCTCCTGCAGCCGGGCCAGGTCCTGTGAGAGGCACAAGAGAGGGGGACATCAGACAGGGGCTCCGTGGGTCTGCAGGGACGGGAGGGCTCCCCAGCCAGGCCTGTCCTCTCCTCCAGCCCCTCAGCAAACAGAGCCCAAATGCCTGCTTGTGTGGGGCTCTGGGAGGCAGCCCAGCCCAGTGGGGAGGCCACCAGGAAGGCATGTCAACAGGTAAACCTCACCAAGGTGGCTGCAAGTTCGTGCAGGTCAGTGTTTACCCAGGAAGCGCACCAGAGGTGGAGTGAGGGGGACCTGCGTGAGCTCCGGTGGTCAGTGGGGCCCCTCTGAGGTGGGGACACAGGTAAGAATGAAGGCCGGAAGGGAAGAGGGGTCAAGGCAGAGGGAACCGCCTGTGCAAAGGCCCTGAGGCAGGAAAAGGCAAGCTGTGATTGAAGCCACCATGGCTGAAGCTGAGAGGAGGGCAGGGCAGGCCAGGGCAGAGCACAAAGGACCTGTGGGCGGTGGGGCGGGGGCCAGAGCATGGAGTGGCTCTGTGGAGGGAAGTGACATGGCCCCACGTATCTTTAAAAGCCATGCCTCCTGGCTCTGCAGGGAGGAGTACAGGCTGAGAGGGCAGGCAGCCCCTGCAACAGCCCAGGTGAGCGCTGAGGTGGCCCGAGCTGGGACGTGGCGAGAATGAGCACAGTGGGTGCACATCTCGGGGGAACAAGCAATAAGTCACTGAGTCCGGGGTCTTGCTTGTTTAGGGAAGAACAATGAACAGACGGTCAGGGTGGCAGGTTTCTAAACACAGCCCTTAACACTCGTGAAGACTGGCCGGGCACTGTGCCAGGCCCTGGGGACACCAGGCCGACAGGGGACGTGGTGATAAGTCAGTGACTGGGCTGAGGACAGACCAGGTGTCACAGGGGGTCCTGTAGGGGCCAGTGCCCTCCCCGGCCTGGTCTCGGTGTCTCCCTCTGCCATGGGAATAAGAAACACCTGCTTCAGAAGGGGCACTGAGGTGCCCACAGCAGTGGACAGAGGGAACCACTGTCGCACGTGGAAGGGCCTCAGAAACGAAGGGAGTGAGAAAAGCCAGACACGAAAGGCCACATCACGTAGGAGTCCGTGTACATGAAACCCGTGGCAACAGAAACACGGTGAGCGGCTGCAGGGGCTGCATGGAAATGGGAATCAGTGGTAAACAAACGGGCACAGGAGACCTTACTGGGGGACGAGAACGGTCAGGGACCAATTGATGGAAACAGCTGTGCCCCTCAGTGAAGTTGCTCACAGTCGTTGCATCGTACACCGAGTGAGAGCTTTTCTGGTGTCTAAAATAAGCCTCAATAAAGCTATCAAGAAAGGCCAAGAAAGGAAGAAAGAAATGACTAAAGAAAAAAAGGAGTGAGTGGAGGTACAGAGTCAAGACATCACTTCCTCTCCCGGCCACCCCCGGCGGGCCAGGGCAGGCGGGGCTTGGAGGTGAGGCCCAGGTGTCAGAAGGCCAAGGGGCTGGGCCACCTCTCTACCCGGGGTGAGTCTGGCCAGTTAAAAAACTACAACAAAACATCATGGTTCTTGGCTTGGGTGGAATTTTATCTGCTCCCTCATCACCAGTCACTTGGGCAGGTAGAGTGTCAAAGACTTATTCTGCAAAAGGAGGAAGTAAATTAGTCATTACCTAATTCATGCAAGCCTTTTCCAAGCATGCTAGCCAAGCCGGGAAAGGAACATCTAGCTCAATGCCCTGGAGGTGAGGTGTTCGAGTCCCAAGTCAGGCAGACCCAACCACGGAGAGAGTCGGCACGGGGGTTCCCTCGGGGGAGGTGGATTGGGACGGTCATGGGGAGCTTCTGGGAAATGTTCTCTATCTGGACTTAGCGGCGGTGACGCGGGCGCCTACTGATAGAAACACTCAATCGGCTGAACTCTTTACATTTGGATGCTTTCTACATTCCTTATGTAAGTTACACCTCAATAAGAAGGGTTTTTAAAACTGAAAATATCACAGGGAGCGACATATCTAATGCATCACACGTATAGTGACGGAGAGTAGCCAGCAGGCGTCACTGGGGGGATCTGGGCGGCAGGGATCTGGCTGTACCCTATGCCACCTTCCAACTTTGCACGTTTAAAATTTTGGCAAACACAAAAGTTCACGTATTGTATGATTCTGTTTAGATGAAATATCCACAATGAGGACAGCAGATGAGTGACTGCGGGGCTGGGAGGAGGAGTGACTGCGGGGCTGGGAGGAGGAGTGACTGCGGGGCTGGGAGGAGGAGTGACTGCGGGGCTGGGAGGAAGAGTGACTGCTGGTGCATGTGGGGTTTCCCTTTGGGTGACAAAATGCCTTGGAACCAGACAGAGGTGGTGGCTGCACAACACTGCAAATGTACGAAACGCCACTGAGTTATTCACTTTAAGTGATTATTTTATGTAATGCTAATCTCACTTCAATTTTAAAAAATAGGGAAATTTGCCCTGGCCAGTGTGGCTCAGTTGGTTGGGTGTCATCCCATCTACTGAAAGGTCCTCGGTTCGATTCCCGGTCAGGGCGCATGTCCAGACTGTGGGCTCGATCCTGTTAGGGGACATGCAGGAGGCAGCCAATTGATGTTTCTCTCTCTCTCTCCCTCTCCCCTCCTCTCTCTCTAAAAAGCAATTTTAAAAAATCTTTTTTAAAATTAGGAGAATTCTACAGAACTTTGGGGTAATTAAATCAATAATGATGTTTTCTTCTGGAAAAAAAAAAACAGGAAGAGAAAAGAAAGAAAAAGAAGATTAGTGTTCATGCAGTCTTCAAAGTGTGGTCTCTTTTTTCTGAGTTTGTTCATTCAAAGTTAAAAAACAGTTCAGCCTGCCCAGTGTATCTCAGTGGTTGAGCATTGACCTATGAACCAGGAGGTCACGATTCGATTCTCGGTCAGGGCACATGCCTAGCTTGCGGGCTCGATCCCCAGTGTGGGGCGTGCAGGAGGCAGGCGATGGATGATTCTCTCTCATCATTGATGTTTCTATCTCTCTCTTCCCCCTACCTTCCTCTCTGAAATCAATAAAAAATATATTATAAAAAAAAGTTCAAAATTATCTCCCAAATACATCCTTGTTAGTTTTGAGTCATTACTCTAAGCAAATAAGCAGAGACCCTATTCATACACACACACAACACGCAAGGAAAGGTCAGATACATTAAAATGTTAATAGCTGATAGATCTCTCTGGGGGTGGAATTACGCATGATTTTAACTTGCTTCCGTATACGTGTTTACCAGTCCTGAAATGGCCATGATGAACACATTACTTTTATTAGGAGAAAGAAAGGCCACACCCCAAAAGCTGTTTTCACTTAAGAAAGAACAGAGTGTGACAGAGTGAAGAGTCACAGGGGGAGCCGGGTGGGAGCGTGCGGCGGAAGGAAAAGGGGCTGGTGGGGTGGGCACTGAGGCAAGGAAGCGGGAGGTGGCCAGGCAGGTGAGGGCAAGGGAGGAGTGGAGGGAAGGGTACCTGGCAGGGAACAGAATCCCCACTTGCCTTTCCTGTCCCCATTTCTCACTGACAGCTGTGCCACCCCCAGCCCACCTAGTCCCTCAGGTCTCTGGGCTGCCTGGGACTGGCCCTCGGCTGGCCCTGGGGACGCACTGGGACCAGCCAGACCTACTCCCCCGTGACCTGTCCCCCTGCAGTCCCCTACTCCTCTTAGTCACCCCCTGGGTGGGAAGGCAGATGAAATACAGATCGTCCAGTTACAATATAATTTCAGATAAACAATGGATAATTTCGTACTGTAAGTACTTCCCAAATAGCACAAGGGACATACTTATAATAGAAAACATTGTTATTTGTGTTCTGAAATGCAAATTTAACTGGTGTCCTGTAATCTATTTGCTACATCTGACTCCCCCACCTCTGGGATGATTCTGGGGCCAGCTCTGTCATTGACTATTACTCTGGCCTTCTCTGAACCTCAGTTTCTCCAGCTACAAAATGGGTATAAACTCAACTGCACTGGGCCAGTGGAGTTTTCATCTTAGCAGCTCACAGTCCGAGGGCAGCTCCAGTGTCCTGCGTGGTACAGCATCCTTAGGAGAAACTACAGCTCAGCACTGTAGTTATCTCCATGGGCAGAGAGGAGAAGGAAACTGAGGCACAGAGAGGGAAAGTGATTTCCCAGCTACTTTCTCTCTCTTCTCTCAAAAAGGAGGAGGATCATATGAGTCTGAGCAATGGCAGTGGTTGGGTGAGAAGTAAGAGTGATGATATTGATGATAATATTGAGCCCTGCTAGTTAATAGATCTATGTTGGCAGAACACTCTTATTCGTTTTTCCATATTTTTTATTGAGATGGAATTCACATACTAGTATGAGCACCTGCGTAATAATCTCATTGACTCAATAATCTCATCGACTCTTTACAGCAGCTTGGGCAATAGGGACCATCACTCTTACCCCTGCAGAGGGAATCACATGCACAGAGAGGTAAGGTGGCTTGTCCAAGGTCACACAGTAAGTGGCAAAGAGGGTCCTAACCATGGGATCCTCCTGAACCTGTGGTTCTCTTCCAGGGGCCAATAAGCGGCAGGAACTTAGTTCCCGGGGTGGGGGGCTGGTGTTAACAGCCATAACAAGGTTCCTCCTCGGTTTTTCCACTTCGGCACTGCTGACATCTGATGCTGAATCCTTGGGGGGTGGGGGGTCCTGTGCCCTACAGGGTGTTTAATAGCATCCGACTAGATACCCATCCACTGCACCCCCTAGGTTGTGACAGCTTAAAATGTCGCCACATGTGCCCCAGGGGGCAGAATGACCCTAGGTGGGAACCTCTGCGTAAGACAAGACGACCCTGGTCCGGAGTGGGGCTGAGGCTGAGGGGGGCACAGGCTGAGGGGGGCACAGGCTGAGGGGGGCACAGGCTGAGGGGGGTACCGGGGAGGAGGTGCGGGCACTCACGCTCTGCATCTTGGCCTCCGTGTCCACGATGTTCTTCTCCACCTGGTCGGCATTCTTCTGCAGCTGATCGATCAGCTCTGACAGCTCCTTGTTGGAGATGCTGCGGGCAGGAGAGGAGGAGGTGAGCAGGGGAAAGGGGCAGGGGCCACGTCCCCACAGGGCCCTGCCACCCGGGCCGTCCCCAGGGTGAAGTCACTCAAGCCACGGAAACAAGACAGCACCTGGTGGGGAAATCAGCCCCTACGCTGGCTGTTCACTCGGCTGCTTCTATTTGCCATGTTGGCAGAACACTCTTATTCGTTTTTCCATATTTTTTATTGAGATGTAATTCACACACTATAAAATTCACCCTTTTAAAGTATAACTCAGTGCCTTCTCACATATTCACAAGGTTACACAACATCATCACTATCTAATTCCAGAACATTTTCATCACCCAGAAAAGAAACCCCGTATCCTTTTTTTTTTTTTTTTAAATATGGAACGCTTCACGAATTTGCGTGTCATCCTTGCGCAGGGGCCATGCTAATCTTCTCTGTATCGTTCCAATTTTAGTATATGTGCTGCCGAAGCGAGCACCCCCGTATCCTTTTTATGGCTGAATAATATTCCGCTGCATGGATAGCCCACATGTTTATCCATTCATCTGTCGATGGACATTTGGGCATTCTAAGTCATGCTATTGTAATCATTCAGGTGCTAGTTTTTGTGCAAGCACCCTTATTGTTACTAGTAAATACCTGGTACTTTTCTTTTCATCTACATAGTCTTTATATTTAAATAAATTTACTTAAAAGGTGAACTTGAGCTCCCCACTGTACACAGAAAACCAGAAGCCCTTGCCATAATGGAAGTAACCGCCAAAAAGAATTCCATGGAGATAAAATGGCAGCATGAGGTTCTGGCTGGACGCTTGGTGGCCTGCTCAAGACCCAGCCCTGCCCCCTCTTGCTTCACAGCAGAGGTTGGCATGTATCACGGCCAAGCCAGAGCTGTGTTACACCGAGCGGAGACTTTCTCTTGGGAGTTCTCAGAGCTGTTCTGAAATCAGAACGGCTTTCCTAAGCCGCGTTTCGGTGCTCTCTCCCGTTACAGGAACCCCGAAAGCTCATCACATACCCCTCTGGCAAACACTACTGTGGTAGGGAAGACCTCAGCCCTGGAATCAAACGTGGGCTCTGGCTGTGTGGCTTGACCAAGCTGCTGTACCCCTCTGTGCCTCTGCTTCCGCGTCAGATGGAATAACAGCACCTTTCACGGTGGGGTGTCATGAGTGGGAGTGAGTTATACAGGCAAAGAGCTGGACCTCCAGCAAGTCTCACAAAGGTTTGTGATTGTTGTTGTTAAAGAGCTTTACTGATCGTTGTGTCGCCCAGCCAGCCAGATGGTCAAGATTAGTGCTCAGTCTCCCAATCTCCATAAAAAAACCCTTTTATACTGACTCCATGTACCCCAATCTCCAGAAAAAACCCTTTCATACTGACTCCACGTACCCCAATCTCCATCAAAAACCCTTCTGTACCAACGCCACAGTGGGGCCTGAGCAGCCAAGCAGCCAGAAGTTTCATTCCACCTGCACTCATTAGCACCTACTGTGTGCCCGGCCTAGCACCACACGCAGACACAGCCTCGCCCTCGGAGAATTCACCCCTGAGACAGGAAGAAAATCAGCATTTACAGAAAGAGTCACGAGAATGAGGCAGGCACGGCAGCTGGGTGTGCCCAGAGGAGCCTCCTAACAGGCTGGGTGGAGAGGGGTAATCAGGGAGGGCTTCCTGGAGGAGGTGGTAGTAGCTGGGTTCTAAAGGACGAGGAAGACGTGGGTTCATGGGCAGAAGGCTCCCATGAGGAAAGGCCATGAAAAAGACAGGTCCTGGGAGTGTCTCTTTGGTTGGGCCAGGGCAGAGCTCTTGACCCTCAAGCCAAGGGGGCTGCCCCCTTTCAGAGTGGAATTCCTCACATCAAGGCCTGGGACCCATCTGCAGTGGCATGAAAACCTCAGATTCTCAGGCACAACCCAGACTTTCTGAACCCGGATCTCCAGAGCTGGGCCCAGGAAGCTGTATTATTGTTGCTGTTGTTTCTACAGGTTCCCCAGGGGACCTTAATACCCTCTTGAGTTTGAGGTCCAACACTGCAGGAACTGCTGGTATGGGGAGAAGTCGGGAGGCAGATGTGGGTGCAGCAAACAGAAGTCTATCTATCCACGTCCCAAACCTTGCCTGAGGGCCTGCTCTGGAGGGATAAGTGGGAGAATGGGGCGGGAGGGGGGACAGGGAGAATGACAAGACCCAGGCCATACCCTCTGCAAAGTCAACCAAGGAGGCAGCCTTTCCCAAAGTGGGGTCCCAGGAATCCCAGGCTTCTAAGTCACTCTCTGAATGAAGTCTTTGCCAGTCAAGACAGTTAGGAAAAACCAACCCCTCCATAAGTTTATGACTCAGTAAAGGCTCTGAGAAGTCCTGCAAGAGAGAAAGCTGGTATTCAGTGGAGTGGCCGGGAAGGCTCAGTAGAGGGGACTGTGGATGGAGGATCTGGGTAAGGAGGGGTAAGGGCGGGGCTGCTGGGTCATGGGCCAACCCCCATTGCTCCCACCCCCTGACGGGCAGACCACCTGGGGAATGTAAGCACTTCCGGGTCCCTCAGCCCCACCTTAGCCACTGGTCCTTAGCCTGGCCTGTGAGACCGTGGGGAGTTTCAACCCAAATATTTAACCCATGACGGTGTTGGCCACCATCAGGAACCTGCAGTGTGGGTTAGGTGGGGCCTTCATCTCTCTCGGGCCCAGCCCAGCTGCACCTCAGGGTGTGGGGCCAGTTCCCAATCCAGCCCCTTCACTGGTTGGGGCAGGTGTGAGGAAAGCACTCTGGACCCACCCTGGCTGCCCATTATTCTAGTTAAAGCCCAACCGGAAAGGGACATGGGGCAGAGAGGGGGATGGAGACAGCCAGCTCCAGGGACCTGGGCTCCTACTGGAGAACAAAGGAAGGTTCAGCGGGAGCTTTGGGCCACAGAGGCGTGGGCTCCGAGTCCTGTTGGGCTGTTTATTGTTTGGACCATCTTACCCTAACATGCCTCAGTTTCTCCATCTATGGACGGGGGCAACCACACAGGCATCATGGTAATTTGACACTTACAGACATCAGACAGGTTAGAAGGCACCACCCCAACAGCACCCACACGCTAATTCCCTGGGGAGGTTTGTATGCCCCTTTACAGATGAGGAAACCAAGGTTCAGAGATGTCAAGGCACTTGCCCAGGGTCACACAGCTTGTGAATGTAGAGCCAGGATTCTCTCCTAGGGAAGTCTTGTTCTAGAGGCCACATGATCAAAACTAGGCTAACAGCTACTCATGGAAAAAATCACATGAGCCAACATATATAGCAACAACCCCATTCTAATAGGAGCTCATATTTACTTTCTACATACCAGGCTCCCACCCACTTCTTTAATCTTCATTACAACCCGGTGAGGTAGGTGTTGGCCCAGTGGGTAATCACTATTTATCATCCCCACTTTACAGATGCGGAAACTGAGGACCAGAGAGGTTCAGTAACTTTCCCAAAGTCACACAATAATTAAATGTCAGAGCTAGAATTCCAACCCAGGCAAGTCCCTTGTGCAGGCCATTAGCAAACCCTGTAAGGGCTATCCTGTAAGGGCTCCCGCACATAATAGGCACTTAACATACTAACTTAAAATGCCAAGTGCCCCAGCCCTGGCTGGTGTTGCTCAGTGGTCAGAGCATTGGCCTGGGCAATGCAGGGTTGTGGGTTTGATTCCTGGTCAAGGGCATGTATCTGGGTTGTAGGTTCGATCCCCAGCCCTGGTTGGGGCATGTGCAGGAGGCAACCAATTGATGTGTCTCTCACATCAATGTTTCTCTCTCCCTCTCTCCCCCCACCTCCCTCCTTTCCACTCTCTCTAAAAATGAATGGAAAAAAATATTCTCAGGTAAGGATTAACAACAACTAAATGCCAAGTGCCCCAGACCACAATGGGATACCACTTTCACCCACGAGGATGGAAATAATAAAAAAGACAGACACTAACAATTGTTGACAAGGATGCGCAGAAATCAGAACCCTCACACGCTGCCGGTGGGGATACAAAGTGGTGCAGCTACTTTAGAAAACAGTATGGAAGTTCCTCAAAAAGTGAAATATAAAGTTGCCATATGACCCAGCAATTCTATCTGCCCAAGACAAATGAAGACATAGTCCACAGGAAAGCGTGTACACAAATGTCCACAGATCACACAGCACTATCACAACAGCCAAAAAAGTGGCAACAACCCAAGTGGTCAGCAACCGATGAATGACTAAGTGTGGTCTAACCACACAGGGAACACAATTCAGCCAGAAGCGGAGTGACGTTCCAATACAGGCAACAACACGGAGAAACCCTGAAACCATCCTGCCGGGCGTCACACATTGTATGATTCCATTTATCTGAAATATCCAGACCAGGCAAATCCATAGAAGAAAAAACAAAATGGGTGAGCGGTTGGCAGGGGCTGAGGAGAGGGGAGTGACTGCTAAGGGGGAGGGTTTCTTTCTGAGGTGATGAAAACGTTCTAAAATTGATTAGGGTGATGATTGTATAATTTGCTGAATAAACTAAAAACCATGGAATTGCATATTTTAAATGAGCGAACGGTATGGTATATGAGTTATACTTCAATAAGGCTGTGTAGGTGTCGCTTATAGCGGTAGGGTTTTATTTTCTTCTTCCCTCGGCCTCTCGAGTCAGTCCTTCATCCTGCTTTGCATGGAGGCTGGGCCAGCTCCAGGTTACGCCCAGCTGCCTGGAGGATGCTAGTTAACACTCAACAGGGGCTTGACCACGTCCCTGGCTGGTGCTAAGCAAGTCACATATAGATGAGCTCATTTAATCCTACCCTCTCCCCTCCCCCCGAAGTAGCACCGATCTCCCATTTAGGAAAACTGAGGCACAAGAGCGATCAGGTCACTTGGCCACAGTCCCACTGCCAGAAAGCAGGGCAGAGCCGAGCATGGTTCCAACACCTTCACCCTTTGGGTTTAGGGTCCTGACTGAAGGGTCCTCATTCCTCCTGCCACCCAGTGGCCACAGGAGCCAGCGTGTCCCCATGACAGCTCCAGCCCCGTGCCAGGAGCGCAGGAATGCGGGTGCAGATCCCAGGAGGGCTGGGAACTGGCTGGGCAGGTCCAGCTTTTCATCTCGTTAATAAGCCACAAGGGGCAGCCAGACGTGGCACCCTGGAGGCCATCGGCTGGGCTGATGGAGGCCAAGATACAGCCCTTCCCGTGATCCTTGTCCCAGTCCTGTCCCTCCCACACACTCACCTGGCACCTCCACCCACCTGGCAAGGGAAGGGAATCGGAGCTGAGTGACATGCTGGGAGGGGAGAGGGCATGCC